AACAAACCATTTTGTACTATAATGGCCAGCGTCCATTAAAAGCTGCAGTCTCTTTCTAGCAGGGGGGGGGGGGTGGGGGGGGGGGGGGGGGGGGCCCATTCATCTGTGCATGTGATTGTTCTTAAATGAGAAACGAGCCAACGGTTCAGAGGTTGAAAACACTGCTTTAAATATCCGTATTAAATACCCAAGATCATGCAGTCAAAATCAATAATTCTAAACTTTCTCCCGTCTATAAACTTTAAATAATAATACTAGTTTCAATAATAGAGCTCCTCTACTTTAAATATAACTGCTGCTGTTCTAATCTCCTTGTGTCTCATGCTAAAGCAAGAATCTAATTAATTTTAAAAAACGATTGTCCCTGTATTCTTTCATGCAGCTAAATGTGGTGTTATGAACGAATGACCTAGCTAAATGTGTAAATATGACTTAATATGTCTCTGTGCGTTTGTGCCTGTCTGTATATTTACCCTCTGTCTGTCTCATTTAGGCCTGCCACGTCTCAAATGTCCGTTAATGTCTTTCTTTTATACTCATGCGTCTTTCAATGTCTTTTGTCCTCAAAGTGTCCAATGTCTTTGTCTCAATGTCTTTTTTTCTTCTTCTTTAAACAATCCACTTTCTTTCTTCTTCTTTCAATAATCACTTTCATTCTTCTTTCAATCACTTTCCCTTTCTCCTTGCAATGTCTTTTTCTTTTCAATCATTTTCTTCTTCTTTCGACAACTTTTCTCATGTCTTTCTTTGTCTCTTTTTTTGGACGCACACCAGCGTGTGTCCTTCTCTTCTTCTTGTTAGGTTTACACAACGTTCTTCTCCGTGCACATAACTCCACGCGTTTGGGCAAAAGTCTGGTTTTTCTCCATGAAATGGAGGCCGGAGAGGTCTTCTTCGAGAGTTTCCCTGTTACTGCTGCATGCAGCCGATGCTGCTGTCTTTGGTGCCCCCCTGTGGGTCTGGGGGAGACGCTGATGGTCCGTGCTGATGGCGCCAGATTGTGGTTTGTGGCAGAGAACGAGTTTTTGGCCAAATGAAACAGACAGAAGTTTTCTCGGAAAAAACAGACAAACAAGAAGCACAAACAATGTGTTAATTACCATACGAAACCAATGATTAATTACAATTCAAAATAAACCTATGAAATAATTAATATTAACATTTTAAAAACATTAAAATTCTGAAAACCAAATCTGCATTCAACTGCATTCACCCTAAGCCCTATTTTTCCAAAAGTATAATGCTCTCTAAGATCATTCTAACTTTTATATCACCAAAATGTAGGGAAAAAAACTTGTCTAGACCAGTGACGTGCGGTGAGGTTTGTGATTGGGAGGCACTGACTTTAAAAGTCAGATTTACAATCATTATTCAAATAAAATAGCATTTAATCACCAATGCAATGACATCCACAAACTGTATATACTGTAAAAGATAAGAGAACCAAGCTTCTTTTAAATAATCTCACAACAAATCTACTGCTGACTCTGCTCCGCATCAAACAACATCTTTAAGAAAGCGCAGGTGCGAGAGACGCGAGGAGAGAGAGACGCGAGGAGGAGAGGAGCAGAGAGAGACAGAGAGGAGCAGAGAGACGGAGACGCGAGGAGCAGAAGAGAGACAGAGAGAGCAGAGAGACGAGACGCGAGGAGCAGAGAGAGACGAGACGCGAGGAGAGAGAGACGCGAGGAAGAGAGACGCGAGGAACATAAACAATAATTTAAACAAGTTGCAGAACTCTTGAGCAGTGTTTGAATCAGTGTTTTTTCGAAAAGCACTACTTTGCCGGTATCTGTCAATGTTCAACATAAAACACAGATTAACAACTCCTCCCCCGCAGCCGGACTAACCTCGTAAGTCCAGTGGTGGTCTTCCCAGTCTATAATATAATTCTTTCTTTGTTTGAAAGTCCAATTGAGAAAAAAAATCTTCATTCAAATCATCCATTTTTCCAGCAAAAGAAATAGCATTTTTGGGCTGATTGTTTGTTAGCAACTCTGGTATGAACTTTATGCTCACTATCACCCCTAGCGGTGAGGCACAGATACCGCCCTGCCTCACGCCAAGCTTTTTCCTTGTGTGTTCATCTACGATCAAAAAACTTAAAGGCACACCGTGTAACTCTTGCCACTAGGGGCTAGACCTGCAACTTTCACGTTTAGCGCCCCTAGTGCCACAAGCAACTCAGACACAGTCGCAAAAGTCAAACAGTCAGCCGGTGTCTTTTGAGTGTGTATTCAGACAGCATGCACTGGTGTGTGTGTTCAAACTGTAGAGACATGCCTACAGATATTGAGAGACTCTGCTGTGGTCAGCCTCCAGACCGCTGCATTAAGTAATCATACCACACATGGACTTCTATATACCTGGATGAGGGAGTTCTGCGTCTAGCTCGTGCTGCGTGGAATGACATCTTTGCGGTCGATGACATCCAGGAACCAGGTGAAGAGCAGCGCTCATACAGACATGCAGCTACAGCACGATCCCTTTTCGCGTTTCCTCTTTTTAGCCTCCTCCGAAGGTTTAAAATTTTTCCTTGCCTCAGCCATGACCAGGAGTCGAGCAAAAGGTGAAAAATGAGTAGCAAAAGCCTTAGCTCCATGAGTATATCAGCGCCTGTAGGCCGTAAAGCAAGTCTTTCTTCCAAGTCACGTGACCTGGTGGCAGACGGTCCAGTCTGCTCGAAACTTACATGGGCGGTATTTCAAGAGGGCAGCCCCGCTCAGAGGAGCATTGCAAGTGTCAAGCGCTGTATATTGGCCCAAGTATTCATATAAAATAACTCATATGTGTCAACTCTTTAGGTCACAAAGTCCGCGGTGTGCCTTTAAACTTAAATATAAATTGTACACACATACGTGCATATACACTACTAAACACTAGAGGAGTTGTAAAAATTTTTTAAAGCAGGATTATTTGAAACAAAACGGTGATTATATCAACTGCCCACGAGCTGAGTGCACACACACACACACACACGGTGAGCGGAGCGGTCTGGGTGAGGCACGCAGGAGCGCTGCCTCACCTCGTCTCTTTGAATAGGAATATACGGGAATTTCGGCGATTTTACTTCAGAAATTAGATCAAACTGAGGGGAACGTGCCGAATATACATTAAAAGCATAGGACAGTGGATATAAATTATATATTTAAAACTAAAATAATATTATTTAGTTTCCAATAATGGCAGGTGAGCTCTGCCTCCTCCCCTGCCTCCCTGACTGCACGTCCCCTGGTCTAGACGCCTTGAGATAAAAAATAAAAATAAAAAATAAGGCCTCTTTATAATCTCACTCAAAGTTCTGTGATCCTATGACTCCATGTCATAACATATCGTGTGTATATATGTAATTTCTACAAAAAAAAATTCTTTCTTCCACGAGAGAGAGACGACAGAGAGAGAGAAGAGAGAGAGAGAGCAGAGGAGAGAGAGTGAGAGAGAGAGAGAGGAGAGAGAGAGAGGGAGAAGAGAGAGAGAGAGAGAGAGAGAGAGAGAGAGACGAGAGAGAGGAGAGAGATAAGAGAGAAGAGAGAGAGAGAGAGGAAGGGGAGAGAGAGAAGAGACAGAACGAGGGAGGGGAGGGGCCTTCCGAACAAAGGCAAACATGGAGTCTGAATACTTTCCCATCGATTGTTCTCGTGACAAGGTTTTAAAATCATTGGTAAAAGTTTTTTCTCACTCCAAACGACACTTTACATTTTATCCTTAAATACGTTCAGTAATGAAAACATTACTATTTGCTTTACGATGACTAATAGTCCCCAGCAGAATCTCTTTTTTTTTTTTGATTCTCTGTGACTATTAAACATTACATTCAGAATAAGAGAAAAACTTCCATAACTTGTCCCTTGTCATCCTGAACTTTTTTCTTCTTAAATGTTTCAGTTTTCTTCAAATCTACATTTTACTGCCACAAACTCTGCTCCTTTTCTTCCAGCTCTGACTCAGTTCTGATTGGTCAAAGCGCGGCCGAGCCCCTCTGTGCACGTGCATGAGAGCCACACACGTGTATTTGGCACAATGCATCATGGGAGCTCGTTTACTGCACAGAACCGGGAGGACCGGACGATGCCCAAATATGGACGGGATCAGCTAATCTCTCGGTCCCCGTGGCGGCACATGCGCTACTGAGAACAAGCCTCTGATTTGAATAGGACGCCATCTTGGATCACCAGGGCTTGGACCAGAGAAAGAGGGACCAGGGAGAGACAAGGGCGGGAAAGACCAGAGGGAAAAACCAGAGAGAGAGACCAGAGTGATCTAGGACTGTATGAATGAATTACCAGCAAAAACATGTGCAAAACTAATCTCACACATTCTGAACTTTAATTTATTGTCGTAGAAGAAACACCATATTTGCTTCTGGTGTGTTATGAAGAGGGACCATGATAGTTCCCCTTTAAACGTCCCTCACCTGTGGTTCAGTGCGTCGCTCACATTAAACCTGGCCCTGACTGGTCCTTCTCTGGTTCCACTGAGACTTGTAGAATTTCTGATTAACTTGACGGACTCGAGCTGTGACGATTCTGGACAAGGTTTTACCCTGAACTCCGGAGATTAGAGGAATTTAATTTCAAGCAAGTTTAATTCTGTCAGCGCGCTCTGCTGGTCCCAGCGCCGAAAACACAGGAATTTGGTTCTAATCTTTTTATTCTGACAGAAATGTTCAGGCAAAAGAATAAAAATATGAATTTGAATAATAATTTTGCAACCAAACAGATGGATTTATCTCTCGTCCATCTGAGGGGGGAGCTTCTCTCTGATCTTTTTATGGTTTCTCTTTCTCTCTCTGGTCTCTCTCTGTTCTCTCTCTCTCTGGTCTCTCTCTCTGGTCTCTTTCTGGTCTCTCTCTGGTCTCTCTCTGGTCTCCATGGTCTCTCTCTCTGGTCTCTCTGGTCTCTCTCTGGTCTCTCTCTGGTTTCTATTGCTGGTCTCTCTCTGGTTTCTATCGCTGGTCCCACTGTGGCACCTGCTGTTCCCAGAGGTCTCCCATCACAGCACTAACCAGGCCCTACCCCGCACACAACAACACAAAAAAAACAACACAAAAGTTACTAAATAAGGAATGACAACAAATACATACAATTGAATAGAAGGGCGCACACTCGGGTAATCTCTCGCACAAGTATTCCAAAGGGGTTTCACTGCAGACAAAGTGAGTGTGTTACCGGTGAGGAGGGTGAAGTGCGTGGGGCTGGTGATGGTCAGATACGGCGGCGTCACGTACTGCGCCTTCACGCCGTCTCTCGCCATCTGGTCCAGGTGCGGCGTGTCCACATCGCGGTCATAGTCCCAGCGGAAACCATCGAACGACACCAGCAGCAGCTTAGGCCCGGTCCTCCTGCCCACGGGGAGCCCCAGGACTACGGAGGCCCAGAGGAGACCGACCAGACACACGGAACCTCGCATTGTTCTGGGTCCACACAGAGAGAGAGGTTTAGTCTGAGAGAGAGAGCGGTCGATCTGTGGGATTGAAGTTTGTCCTGTTTATCTAATCTGTGTCAGCGGCGGTTTACGAGCGGCTTTTACGACGCTGTGCTGGAGAAAATAGTTTGCGTTTCAACTGTAAATGGTAAAAGGGGAAAGGACTGTACTGGACTGAGGCTGTGGATCCAGGACTGAGGCTGTAGACCCAGGACTGAGGCTGTAGACCCAGGACTGAGGCTGTAGATCCAGGACTGAGGCTGTAGATCCAGGACTGAGGCTGTGGATCCAGGACTGAGCCTGTAGACCGAGAACTGAGGCTGTAGACCCAGGACTGAGGCTTCAATAGAAATATACTTGTTTTGTATTATTTAAATAACTAATATGCTTTTATTTTGTTCCTTAAACTGTAAACCTTTCACTACAGACAGTTGCAGACTAGTCCAGGATAAAAAGCCAGGACTGAAACAGAGTTGTGTGTTTGTTGATCTGTGTCTGGAGCAGTGGAACCGGACTTTGGGTCATCAATCATCATCGTTAATGATTTCCAAAAGTGTTGAACAAATATTATGGTCCCGGTCCTGGTCCTGGTCCTGGTCCTGGTCTTGGCCCTGGTCCCTGTAAAACTCTTTTTAACTTTAGTAGACAGTACTTTAGCCTCATTAGCCTCAGATTCATATAAAGTTGTTTTGCCAATCAGAGAGACAAGAGAGATAGAGACCAAAGAGGGACCAGACAGAGAGAGAGAGAGAATCCAGAGAGAGAGAGAGAGCAAAGGGAGACCAGGGAGAGAGACAGAGAGAGAGAGATCAAAGTGGGACCAGAGAAGGACCAGAGAGAGACCAGAGAGAGACCAGAGAGAGACCAGAGAGAGACCAGAGAGAGACCAGAGAGAGACAAGAGAGAGAGAGAGAGACCAAAGAGGGACCAGAGAAAGACCAAAGAGGGACCAGACAGGGAGAGAGAGAGAGACCAGAGACGGACCAGAGAGAGACAGGAGAGAGAGAGAGAGAGAGAGACCAGAGAGGGACCAGACAGGGAGAGAGAGAGAGACCAGAGAGGGACCAGAGAGAGACAAGAGAGAGAGAGAGAGACCAGAGACGGACCAGAGAGAGACAAGAGAGAGAGAGAGAGAGAGAGAGACCAGAGAGGGACCAGACAGGGAGAGAGAGACCAGAGAGGGACCAGAGAGAGACAAGAGAGAGAGATAGAGACCAGAGACGGACCAAAGAGGGACCAGAGAGAGACCAAAGAGGGACCAGACAGGGAGAGAGAGAGAGACCAGAGACGGACCAGAGAGAGACAGGAGAGAGAGAGAGAGAGAGAGAGAGAGAGACCAGAGAGGGACCAGACAGGGAGAGAGAGAGAGACCAGAGAGGGACCAGAGAGAGACAAGAGAGAGAGAGAGAGAGAGACCAGAGACGGACCAGAGAGAGACAGGAGAGAGAGAGAGAGAGAGAGAGAGAGAGACCAGAGAGGGACCAGACAGGGAGAGAGAGAGAGACCAGAGAGGGACCAGAGAGAGACAAGAGAGAGAGAGAGACCAGAGACGGACCAGAGAGAGACAAGAGAAAGAGAGAGAGACCAAAGAGGGACCAGACAGGGAGAGAGAGACCAGAGAGGGACCAGAGAGAGACAAGAGAGAGAGAGAGAGACCAGAGACGGACCAAAGAGGGACCAGAGAGAGAGAAAATATAACACATGTTCAAATATAGATAGCCGTTTTGTGTTGGGACATTTTCAAGAGAGAAAAGTGGTTATAAATTTCTTCCAACTTGAGAACAATGAAACACCGTAGACTTTATATAGACACAGACCATGTGTTTGGAACAGTCTTCCTGAAAATGTGACACAGGCCTTTTCTGAACGTACACAATAACATAACACATCCCTGGTTCTCATCTCGCTCTTATAAACCCATGCTTTAGAATGAGATAAAATGATTTGACCTGAGATGACAATTACCCCCGAGTCCATCGCTCCTCTTTACAGTAGCACCCGCCGCCGCCGCAGCCGCAGCAGCCGCAGCAGCCAACACGACAAACACTAATGAATCCCAACGAGTGCCTTTGTATCTCGCTCTTATCGGCGCCCAGAGACCTCGATTCCCTTGAACCGGCGCCAAGGACACGCTCTCGCAAACATGAGCCGTCAGATGAAGAGATTAGATCAGTTTTACTTTGTCATTTGTCGCCCGTTGCTTTTGAAAAAAAATCAATTGTGAAGCTAAGATAGTTTCCCGGGGCACACATACATTACTGCTATTATTACTGCTAGTTATTAGAATGAATACATCTATTAGCTCTCTGGGGGGGGGGGGCAGATATTAGCCTGGCTTTTCAGAGGGTCGGGGTGGGGGTGGGGGGGGGGGGTATGCTCTCATTCTCCTCTTCATTCTGCCGGTGTCAGATCAATTATGAGACATCCCCAACCCAAGGTGAAAGCCATCAACGTGTCATTGTCCCGGGTCTGGGCCGTGATTCAGCGCAGAACAGAAGGGGAAGAGAGCAGATCAGCGCGGCAGGAGGCAGAAGAGTAAACGTAAACATACCACAGAGGCACAGATGTATCTTTAGCGTCAGTCACTGCTGCTGTTCCTTCTGAACCAGACCGGGGCAAAGTCCGGCCCCAGGGTCACGTTCGGCCCAGTTCACGGCCGCTCTCGGACGTTCTTTTCTGAGTGGAGTTTGCATGTTCTTCCTGTGTTTTATCACAGTTTTCAAACCGTCTCCCCCTGTTTTATTTCAGGAAAGTCCCATTGAGATTAAGAACCTCTTTTTCAAGGGAGTCCTGGACAAAAGTTACTACTGTACATCAGGGGTCTCCAACCTGTAGCTCCTGAGCCACTAGTAGCTCGCCACCCCCTTCCAGGTAGCTCGCCATAGGATTTAGAAATGAGTCAACAAATAATATGCTTAATATTTCAGATTGTTGTCACTAGTAAAAAATATGTGAAGCTAAATAACAAAAGTACCCGATATCAGGCTCGTTCACATCAATATAGAACCACATTTTTTCCCAGGGCCGCTAAAATGAGTAGCTCTCTGCCTTCATCTTCCCGGTACAGTAGCTCTCTGCCTTCATCTTCCCGGTACAGTAGCTCTCTGCCTTCATCTTCCCGGTACAGTAGCTCTCTGCCTTCATCTTCCCGGTACAGTAGCTCTCTGCTTTCATCTTCCCGGTACAATAGCTCTCTGCCTTCATCTTCCCGGTACAGTAGCTCTCTGCCTTCATCTTCCCGGTACAGTAGCTCTCTGCCTTCATCTTCCCGGTACAGTAGCTCTCTGCCTTCATCTTCCCGGTACAGTAGCTCTCTGCCTTCATCTTCTCGGTACAGTAGCTTTCTGCCTTCATCTTCCCGGTACAGTAGCTCTCTGCCTTCATCTTCCCGGTACAGTAGCTCTCTGCCTTCATCTTCCCGGTACAGTAGCTTTCTGCCTTCATCTTCCCGGTACAGTAGCTCTCTGCCTTCATCTTCCCGGTACAGTAGCTGCCTGCCTTCATCTTCCCGGTACAGTAGCTCTCTGCCTTCATCTTCCCGGTACAGTAGCTCTTTGCCTTCATCTTCCCGGTACAGTAGCTCTCTGCCTTCATCTTCCCGGTACAGTAGCTCTCTGCCTTCATCTTCCCGGTACAGTAGCTCTCTGCCTTCATCTTCTCGGTACAGTAGCTCTCTGCCTTCATCTTCTCGGTACAGTCGCTCTCTGCCTTCATCTTCCCGGTACAGTAGCTCTCTGCCTTCATCTTCCCGGTACAGTAGCTTTCTGCCTTCATCTTCCCGGTACAGTAGCTCTCTGCCTTCATCTTCCCGGTACAGTAGCTGCCTGCCTTCATCTTCCCGGTACAGTAGCTCTCTGCCTTCATCTTCCCGGTACAGTAGCTCTCTGCCTTCATCTTCCCGGTACAGTAGCTCTCTGCCTTCATCTTCCCGGTACAGTAGCTCTCTGCCTTCATCTTCCCGGTACAGTAGCTCTCTGCCTTCATCTTCCCGGTACAGTAGCTCTCTGCCTTCATCTTCCCGGTACAGTAGCTCTCTGCCTTCATCTTCTCGGTACAGTAGCTCTCTGCCTTCATCTTCTCGGTACAGTCGCTCTCTGCCTTCATCTTCCCGGTACAGTAGCTCTCTGCCTTCATCTTCCCGGTACAGTAGCTTTCTGCCTTCATCTTCCCGGTACAGTAGCTCTCTGCCTTCATCTTCCCGGTACAGTAGCTGCCTGCCTTCATCTTCCCGGTACAGTAGCTCTCTGCCTTCATCTTCCCGGTACAGTAGCTCTTTGCCTTCATCTTCCCGGTACAGTAGCTCTCTGCCTTCATCTTCCCGGTACAGTAGCTCTCTGCCTTCATCTTCCCGGTACAGTAACACATTATAACTCAAAGGGCTGAACCAAAGAAGACGGACGGTCACACACAATCATGGATAATCACAGTGCGTTAAAAAGAGTCTGTGATCTCAGTGGTGCCTGGGGTTAACCATGTGACCAAGACATGACGTGGGGCGACAGTGGATCTGTAGAGCGATGGCCTTTGAGCCAGAAGGTCGTGGGTTCGAATAATGAGATGTGCTATATAAAACCAGTGGGGGCGGGTCCCGGCTCAAAAGTGGCCAAATTGACGTGCGCTGACATGCTGCAATACCACCCCGGGCCTGTGGGGGTGGACCCGGAATAAGAATTAGCCAATGCTAACATATAGCATCTTCTTACCTCTGGAAAACACCTTTACAGGTTGGTCCAAAAGTTGTCTCTTGGCCCAAAGCTCCGTTCCACATGTGTGTCAATGCTGAGTGTTCTGGACCAGTCTAGTTTAGTCGCTGTGGACTTTAGAAGTCACTCGTTTAAATGAATGGACCTCGTACAGCTGACGCATGCGCAGATGTGTTTTTTCACATTTTCCAGCCCCCGCGGCCATTTTTAATAACTCCATGAAAGGCCAATTTTTGGCCCATTAGTTAGAACGGCGGCGATGGGCCTGACTACGTCTGTTAA